GGTATCCCAGAGCAAAGACTGGTTGTTAAGCCCAGCGCTGGGTGGCTAGTCTTCCCAGCTGTTTCTATCAGACGGGATATTCTAATGGTTATGCGCTGAGGCCTGGGGCCAAGCTGCCTGGGTTCAAATTCCCAGTTGGGCCACTGACTGACCATATAACCTATTAGTCTTTCTGTGCCTTGGTTTCCCCTTCTGTCCTGGGGAATAATAGTACTCGACTCCTGTGATGTTGTGAGGAGTAACTCGTTCGTTTCTGCAAAGCTCTGAGGACAGCACTTGGCACAGAGAAAGTGCCCAAGTACCTAGAATTATTGTTCTTATTACTGGGGCCACGTGCGGAAGCTACATCAGCCAGGATGCTGGGCGTCCTAGCTCCAAGATCTAGAAAAAATCACAAGTACCTCCGTGCCCACTTCTTCGTAACAGAGAGGAAACAGTAAGTTTGCCCCTCCCAAAGTTCATTTTGCTCCACCACCCAAAAAAACCTTTGCAACCTTCCTGGGAAGTAGGCAGGGCAGGTCCTGGCTCCTCATTTTAATGAGGTGAGGAAAAGGGCGGGAGGGGCAGGAGGCGATTCCCCTTCCCCTGGCCCTGTCCTGAGCTCTCTGTACCCTCTGTACCCCCCATTTCTCCCACACATGGGGGGGGAGCTAGTCAGAAGCCTTATGGGGCCCCTCCCCCGCCTGCCCACCTGCTCCAGAGTGGCCCCCAGAACCCCAGGGCCCAGCCTACGTTCTCATGCTGCATGTGCTTCAGCAGCCGCAGCTCTCGGTAGGCCCGCTTGGCAAAGATCTCGGACTGGAAGGGCCGGCTCAGCTTCTTGATGGCCACCTTCTCCCCTGACCGCTTGTCGATGGCAGAGCTGGAGGGCATGCACAGGTCGGCAGGCTGTGGCTTTCTTGCCGCCCCAGCAGCCCCCACGCCATATCCCAAGTGCTATCTCCCAGGCCACTCTGAGGGAGCCCAGGCCATCCTCACCAAAATCCCTCCTGGCCAGCGGGCTGGGCTGGGAGGAAGGGAACCCACCACCTGGGAGGTAAGGGAGCAGCTTCAAACGCAGTGAGGAATGGGTGGGCGGGGGGCAAAGGGGAGCAGTTCTTCATGGGGTCAGACCCAAGTTCAGGCCAACAAGATCCAGAGCCCCGCACTGTGTACCTTGGCAAGTCACACTTCCTCCTCTTTGGGCCTCAGGGTACCCACTTGTAACAAAGGGGATTTGCCTGGATGAACTCTGGGGTCCCTTGTAAGGTTCAAGTCCTGGGGAACCAGACCCAGTCCTAACTCAAGCCACAGAGACCCCACAATGCCGGTGAGGGCAGTGAGGTGGCGCCCGCGGTGGCCGCAGGTCAGCCTCTGCCACAGCCTGAGGCTTCTGGCTCCCACTCCGCTGCCCTGTCGCGGCCTCCCAGCTCCAAGCCCTCAGCCCAGAAAAGCCTCCACCGGAGTCTTCCGAGCCGGCGGGACTCGGGGCTTTGGGGTCTTCGCTCAAGGTGGTGGGGGCGCAGCCCCGAGCGCCCCCCAGGAGACGGGGATCCCCCCCCCAACCCCGAGGCGTGTCCGGGAAGAGGTGCACTGGCCGGGCCCGGGTCGTCGGGAGGCTCCATCTGCGCCCCGGTGCCCGCGCGCCCGCCGTAGGTCCCGCCCGACGCCCCGAGCGCCCCCGGCGCCCCCCAGCGGCGCGCTGTCCCGGGGGGTCTCACCACACGGCGCCATACGCCCCGCTGCCTACGTGCGTCGGGGACACGTAGGTCTTGGGCAGCTCCCAGGCAGTCTTGTTGACGTCCTGCTTGTAGAAGCCCTTTTTCCGCGTGAAGCTCATCCCGGGCCCCCAGTCTCGGCGGCCCCAGCACGGCGCCTGCGTTCGCCGCCCGCCGGGCTTCCAGCACCCGGCCCCCCGCCCGCCGGTCAGGCCCGCCCCGCCGCCCGCTCCTCCCCCGCGCGAGGGCGGGGTCGCGGGCCCGCGGCGCGTCCCACCTGCCGGCTCGCCCAGGTGCGCCGAGTGCGGCCACGCCCGGACCTGCCCCGACAGCCCCGGCGGTGTGGGACCCGGGACCGGAGTCGCGGCCCGGGCGTCAGGAGCGCTGCCCTGCAGGAGGGGGTGCTGCGGGCGTCGCCGGCGGCGGGGTAGAGCCCGGGGGCTCCTGCGGGCGGCGTGGCGGGGGTGGGGTTGGTGAGGGTGGGAAGACAGGGCCGTCCCGGTCCTTCCGGTTCGGGACTCGATGGGAAGATCTGCGTGGAGGATCGTGGTGCGGCTAATGGAGACAATACTGGAAAAACAAAACTAAACCCCACAACGTTTTGCTTATGGGAAGTTTCAAAAGTACCGAAGTAGACAAAACAGCCCGATGCTGCTCACCACTGAAGGTGCGGGCTCCCGGGCTCAGGGGCTCTCTGGACCACATTTTGATAGTGAGGTTCTAGGGAATCTGCGTGACCCCAGTCCCTCAGCTTCAACGATTATAGCAACCCTTAGCCAATTTTGTTTCCATCATTTTGATGCAACACCAGGCATCATGTAATTACATCCAATATTTTTTTTTAAAGATTTTATTTATTTATTTGACAGACCGAGATCACAAGTAGGCAGAGAGGCAGGCAGAGAGAGAGGAGGAAGCAGGCTCCCCGCGGAGCAGAGAGCCCGGTGCGGGGCTCGATCCCAGGACCCTGAGATCATGACCTGAGCCGAAGGCAGCGGCTTAACCCACTGAGCCACCCAGGCGCCCCACATCCAATATTTTTTCATCGCTTAAAGATAAGGGACTACTTTTAAAACATAACCACAATATTTTTATATCTAAAATTACCAGAAGTGATTCTATCACCAACTATCCAGTCCAGGCTCAGATTTCCAGTTTTGCATGGTTTTTTGCTGGCTTCCTGAAGCCGCATGAGGGCAATGACAAGCCAGGGCCTTCTGCCACCTGTGTCTGGGGGCTGGTGCAGCCCAAGGGAGATTCTGTGCTCAAATTAAATCACGGAGGCCTCCCAAAAGGGGGTTGGGACAGAGAATGGCCATAAGGGGTCCACATGCCTGGTCTGACTTATCTGACCCTTCACTGGCCTGGGGAAGGGGTTGTGAAGGGGCGGATACCACTGGCTTCACTTAATCAAAGGGAGAGAGGGTGTCTTGAAGAAGGAAAGGAACTTGCTTGTGGCCTACACCAAGGGGGGACCTCACTAGGGAGTCTGCAGGCCCCAAACCCTGGGCCCCAGTTCCCCCCACACAGTCTGGAAGACCACCACAGGGTGAGGGTGGCAGGGTGATCCTACAGTAATGCCCAACAGGCGTATCTTTCAGAGACTCTGCCTTATTCATATCTGGCACACAGTAGAATATCAAAAGCTGTATTGAGAATGAATGGAAGAATCAGCCCATTCAAAGTGAAAAAAACCTTTCCGGAACACTTGTGCGTGCCATGGGCCAGTCATTATTATGAGGGTTTTACATATACAACTCCCTTAGTTCTGGTGAGAGGTCTCTGAGTCAGTGCTATGATTATGCCCAATTTAGGGATGAGGAACCTGAGGTACAGAGAGGTTAAGTAACTTGCTGAAGGTTGCACAGTGGCTAAGGGGCAGAGCTGGGTTGAAGAAGTGAGCGGACCCTGGTTCTAGAGGCTATGTTCTCGGCTCCAAGTCTGTGCAGTGTCTCTGAGTTGAAAGGCCTTGCTTCTTAAAGGCAATGGTCTGTATTTCACACTGTCCCCCTCACTCACATCATGAGGACATGTCTACAGATCAAACTGGGTCTCCCTCTGCACATCCTACACGAGGGTATCTGGAATATTCTCCACCCTCTTCCCTGCCCCTCCCCTGCCTCTAGCCTTGAGACACTGCAGGAGGAAGAGGGAAGAGGCTATGAGCCTGGGGCGGGGTGGGGGGCAGCTCCAGGAGTTTGGGACCTTTGAGGTTGGTGGTGTCAGGGAAGGGCATCCTGATTCTGAAGCTGGGTTGAGGTTCTGGGGGCTGGAGTTCAGGCCCTGGGTGCAGGCAAGACAGAATTGTCCAGGAGACTCAGGGCTTCCTTCTAGGATGAGGATCACAGTCCCCAGGACAAGGACAGAGCTGAGTGTGGCAGAGGTGAACCCAGAAAGGTGGGGGTACCAGGGAAATGGTCTTGCCCAAGTGGATATAATCCCACGAGGGCACGAGCTGGCCACTCAGGCTGTGGCTCTGGATGCTTCTTAAGCAATGGTCAGGAAGTGACTCAGGCCTCAGTCCGATGACAGTGCCCCCCCCCACCCCTGCCCCTCAGGCCTCAGCTGACCCGTGTTTACTCAGTAGCCAGGTGGCCGTGGTCTCGGGAGAGAAATACTTTGGAGGAACTGAGGCTGCCTGGCTACTCACACATGGGAGAGGACGCACAGTGGGTCACTGAGGCCCTAGGCTCTTCTTCTCTTTCAGCTCCAGTCTCCTCTGCACTTCTCCCAGATACTGGCTCAAAGTTGTCATGTTGGTTTCTGCCCTATCAAGGCTGAATCAAGGAGGTTAGGAAACCCACTTTGGAAGGGGACCCGAGCTGCCACCCTGACTCCGTGCTCCCAGCTGTGTGACCCCGGGCAAAGCTGCTGCCCCTCTCTGTAGAGGTCTCAGCGTCCCCATTGTGAAGTGAGAGTGATAGCATGGCAAATATATCTGAAGAATCCTGGGAGTATATCATCCGGAGCAAGGCTGATCTGGATTAGATGCTGTCGGGAAGTAGAGGTGATTCTATGGTTGGGGATCATAAATCTTACCTAGAAGGAGAGCCAACCAGAAAGAGGCAAGAGCTGTAATTGGTAGAGAAGCAGCCTTTCCTCAGATTAGCTACACGAGGGATGTTTGGTCATTTCTGTGGTCTGGATGGTACTACTGCTTTATCTGTTTTCAGGCATGATTATGGAGCGGTCTTGTTTTTGTCTTGACCCAGCACGGTCACAGATGGCCTTGTCTGTGCTCAGAGGAGTCCAGCAGGAGAGAGCTGTGCCGGGCCCGCTGTGAGCACCACCAAGGCCTGGCTGATGGAACCAGGCATCTCCCGGATGTTAGGGCTGCTCTGCTCTGTCCAGATGGAGAGACCAAGGCCCAGAGGTATTAAGTAATTGGCCCAAAGTCACACATGACCAAGAAGCTGGTGGATGTGGTCTTCCAGAGGCTGTGCATTCAACTACCAAGTAGCCCAACACCCAGCCAGCCCCTGAGAAGAGGCTGTTGTACTGTTGTCCCCCTAGTGACGCCAAGGTGGGGGGCAAGGGCTTGGGTTTGGGGGGGGATTAATGACTCTCAACAAAGATAAAAGCCTCACAGGACAATGAGGCTGGCTGCCCATGTCCTCCATCCTGGCCACCTGGACTCCATCTTGCCTCAGGAATCCAGCCACGCCTCAAACACCACAGGCCTCTCTGTCCCAAATACAGGGCCAGCCACTCAAATCCTCACCACAATTGGCCAAGAGACCTCTACAAAATGAGAAACCGTGATGGGTCTGGGGTCCCACCAGGACGAAACAGCTAGGGAGCCCCCAAGAACTCGGGCTCCAGCTCTGAGAGTTTCCCTGCTCCTAAGGGGCTTTCAGAACTCCACAAAACAATCAAAATCAAGAGGAGGTGCGGGGGGGTGGGGAGGAGGGGTAGGGAAATGCAGAGGGAAAGCCGCACATGTGCCTTGTTGACTTAGCTAGCCCTGGGCAAGTTAGCCTGCCTGAGCCTCAGTTTCCTCATCTGTAAACCAGGAGTGGCAATAATACCCACCTCATGGGACATCACGAGGACTGAGAGAGATGGCTGGAGAGGCATGTAATTCAGTGGCCGGCACATGGGAGATGCTGTCCAGATGTTCTTCCCCTCCCCCCCAGTGTTGTCCAGCTTTGCCTCCCAGCGCCAGACACCCCCGCCACTGCTCTGCCCCAGCACCCCCTCCCCTTGTTCCCAATCCTGCCCCAGAAGCTGCTTCCTGGGCGGCTCCCACTCACATCCAACTCTGTTATCAAGCTTTTAAAAATTTTTTGAAATTTTCATTTAACTTCCACTTAGTTAACATAGATTATAATATTAGTTGCAGGTGTGCAATAGTGTGATTCATCACGTCCACACACCACCTGGTACTCATCACGACACACGTGCCCTCCTGAATCCCCATCACCTGTTTCACCCATCCCCCACCCCCTCCCCTCTGGTCATCATCCGTGTGTCCTCTGTAGTCAAGAGTCTGTTTCGGGGTTTGCCCCCCTCTCCCCAGTCTCTCTTTACCCCAGCCCACAGACTCATTCAGTCAATGTGAATGTGACCCATTCGGTGTTTACTGAGGGTTTACTGAGTGCCCTGGACTGACCCAGGGGCCAGGGATGTGACTGAAATGTAACAGATAAAGATGCCCCCTGCTGCACCCCCGCGTGGAGCTGACATTCTAACTGTGGAGGCAGATGGAAAACCAGTGAACAAATACATAGCCTTAGGCTGAGCCACACAAAATTGCTGCTATTTGACCATTTCAGATGATTCGAGCAAATGTCATGTCAGGCAGTGTTAAGCCCTGGGAAGAAAATCCCGCTGAGTAAGGCTGTGAAGAAGGACTGGGAGAGCTCTTTTAGACAGGTTGTCAGGGAAGGTCTGTCTGGGGAGGCCCTATGTGAGCAATATCTCACTGCACAGGGCAGTGAGCCAAGCAGATCTCCAGGGCAGGAGCAGGTGTCTGCCTTCCCAACTTTTCCACTGAGTTCTGGGCCTGCCCACCAACCCACCCAGCCCCACCTCCCTCCCCACCCCACCACCCCTCCCAGCCCCTCCCACCCCCTTCCCCAGCCTGTCCCTCACTTCAAGCTGGCTCTGCTCAGTCCCTCAAGGGACCAGCTCACCACACCTGGGGCCAGGTCAGTGGCCTAGGGGCCTGGGCCATCTTCCCCAGCACCTCTTCCCCTTCTAGGGGGCTGAGGCTGGACAACAGCCTTGGGGCCTGAGCGGAACATCCATCCCAAGACCAGAGAATCTGGCTCCCTCTTCTCACAGGTGCCCCTCCACAATATGAGCTTTTCTCTCTCTGCCCTCCTGGTCTACTCGCTGCCCTCAGTTTGAGCACCCCCTGGTGGAGGACCGAATTGGGGACAGCTCTGCGGGAGCAACCCCTCCCAGCCAACCTTCTTGGGACCCAGAAGGTAAACTTCGCCTACTCACATCAAACACAGTTCTCTTCCTTGCTCCGCCTCCCACTGCACCCCAACACCCACTTCTCTCTGCCCAGCCTTCGTGAGACGGGCCCCTTGACCAAGTCCAAGTCCTGTGAGGATGTGGTCTGTGGTTGGTCTGGAGATATTCCCGTGATGGGGCAAACTCTGCTCCATTTGATCTGCTTTGTCCTCTGTGGCATTCATTATAATTGTAGTTTTTTTTTTTTTTAATATTTACTTATTTGACAGCAAGAGAGGGAGCACAAGTAGGGGTAGTGGGAGAGGGAGAAGCAGGCTCCCCACTGAGCAGGAAGCCCAATGCAGGCCTCCATCCCAGGACCCTGGGATCATGACCTGAGCTGAAGGCAGATGCTTAACGATGGAGCCACCCAGGCTCCTTAGTAACTGTGATGAATCGGCACTGTCCTCCATGAAATGTCTGCCTCCACCACTGGATAAATGACTCGGTGAGGGCGAAGGCAGTGTCTTGGTCACCACCAAGTGCCCAGCACTGTGGCTGGCCCACAGGAAGTGCTAAATAAATAGTGAATGAATGAATCAAAGATCTTCGTCTCTTGTTGGTTCAAGAGGCAATGAGAGAATGAGTTTTGAAGACCCAGAAGGTGGAATGGAGGAAGCGACAGCTGGGGAGTCATGCTTGAAGTCGGGTCCATTGTGAGGTGTTTGGGACAAGTGGTCCCTGTTGGGTTGGACATGCTCTATCCTGAAGGGTGTTTGGCTTCGCACTGTTACTTCACTGCTCTCTGAACCAGGGCCTATGGGGGTGCCCCCCGTGTGGCCCTCCAGCTCCCATGTGTGGTGGTAAAGGACTTTTAATTAAGAACCAAGGGACATAGGGGGCGCCTGGGTGGCTCAGTTGGTTAAGCTACTGTCTTTGGCTCAGGTCACGATCCTGGAGTCCCAGGATTGAATCTCACATTTGGGCTCTCTGCTCAGTGGGGAGTCTGCTTCTCCCTCTGACCTCTCCCCACTCATGCTCTCACGTTCTCATTCTCTCTCTCTCTCAACTAAATAAGTAAAAAAAAAAAAAAAAAAAACCAGGACACACAACTCAAATTTGGGGACCTCTTCTTCCTTCACCAAGAATTTGCACCAAACTTCCATGGTAAAGCAAGCCCCTCCCTGCCTTTCCTGCTCCCACTGACACTGCAGGTAAGCCAGACCCTCTACCCTTTGGAATTGCCCTTCCTTCCTGATCTTGAAAGTTCAGCTCCAAACCCACCTCTTCAAGGAAGTGTTCCAGAGTGACCTCCAGACCCGCTTACCTCTGTACCCCAGTACCTACCCTCCCGACCCCACAACCCTGGCTGTTCCCCCACCGCACACACATCCAGGCTTTGTGACAACTGTAGAGTCGTTGGATACACTCTGGGGAGCAGGTGGAGAGTAACGAGGACAGGGAGGAAGAGCTGGGTTTGAATCTCCGGCCGACACTTACAGGCGGTGTGACCTTGAGTAGGTGAACGCATGTCTCTGAGCTTCCTCATCAGTGAGGTGGGGGAATGACACCCACACAGCCAGGGCGAACAGCAGGATTTAATGAGACCCTGGAGGCATGGGTGCTCCCTCACATCCTTCAGGATTGCTCACCTGTCACCTCCTCTGAGTGTCCTCCCTGACCCCATCGCCAGCCACGCCCCACCTGCTTCTCCTGGCCTCATTTTCCTTTAAGACCTTATATATCTCTCAGTGCACCTGTTGATCAGCTATCTGCCTGCCCCCACCAGATCATCTGGTCTGCAGGAAGAGTGGCTTCGACTACTTTGTTCATTGCTGAATCCGAAGTACCTAGAACAGTGCCCCCGCCAACACACACACACAGTGACTGGCCAGGAGTGGGGGCTCTCAGCAGAAGCCACTGTTATTACTGTGCTTCTCTGTCCTCTTGGTTTGCAGCTGATAGGTGGCTCACTCACCTTCCGGCCTAGGGCCATCCCAGCTCAATGACCTGCCAAAGCTTGGGACAAGGTCAGTGTCCTGCCTGGGGTCCTGCGTGCCCTGCCCTGGGCGGAGGAGGCTGTGCACCCCAGAGGGCATCTCAACAAGCTGCCTTTCCAGGCCAGAGGCCACTGGGGCTGCCCGTTCTGCCTTTCTGATATAAAGCTCCAAGGCCAGGACACATGAATCATTCCCAGGAGCCCCACAACCCTTGTCAGGGCCAAAGGAAGCCAGATGAGACTAGCAGGACTGCCTGCCATGGCAGAAGTTTGGGCTCTGATCCCAGCTCTGCTTCACATTTCCTGTGTGACCTAAGGTAAGTCACTCTGCCTCTCTGGGTACTTCGGTTTTCTATTTTGTGTATTTAACAAATATTCATAGAGCATTAATTTGTGGCCAAAAATTGTTCTAAGAGCTTTACACACATGTAACTCATTTCATCCTCTTAGGAATCCTATGAGATGAGTTCATAATACCCTCCATTTTTCATATGACAAACCTGAGGCACAGAGAGGCAAAGTGACTTGCCCAAGGTCACACAGCTCGCAAGGGTCAGAGCCGCAATTCAGGCCCTGGCAGTCTCAACTGCAGTTGGTGCTGGTAACCACTATGCTCACCTGCTCTGCACAGTGTCCCTGGGGGTCCAGCCTTTGCCTTTTTGAGCAATCTGAATTCCTCCTGATGGTGCCCCCGTTATTTGGCCACACATTTATCTTCTTAAATGTTCTATTTAGTTTCCCTAAACGCCTGAGTGGCTCAGTGGGTTAAGCCTCTGCCTTCAGCTCAGGTCATGATTTCGGGGTCCTGGGATTGAGCCCTGCATCACATCAGGCTCTCTGTTCAGCAGGGAGCCTGCTCCCCATCCTCTCTCTCTCTGCCTGCCTCTCTGCCTACTTATGATCTCTGTCTGTCAAATAAATAAATAAATAAATAAATAAATAAGTAAAATTAAAAAAAAAAAAAAGACTCTCCCTTCCCATGCTTCTCCACATCTAATCACAGGATCATCCTTATTTCTAGAAGGAAACAGTCAGTGGTGTCTTGGAAAACTGGCATTAGGTGGGGTGGGGGTGGGATCGGGAGTCCCAGTACGTAGCACTTAGTGATTTCCGTGGTGTGAATACTTCCGCCAGGCCAAATTCAAGCTATCAACTTGATGTCATTGAACATGGAGTTGAGAAGAGAGACACAAAGTCAGCTGTCAAGAGCCACAGCGAGTGGGCTCCGGGGCTGTCGGCCTAGGCAGAGACGTGACAAGAGGGATCCATGGGATACTGGGTACAATCCAGTAGCAGGGCCTATGGGCCCTGGGCACGGTGCTTCTCCCTGCCTCACAGGCCTTCCAGGATCTCCATTCGTTCACACTTCCATGCTCCTGCTGGGCAGCTGGCCAGAAGCTCAGGGCAGGTGTGACTACAGCCCAGCTGTGACTGCTCTTCTTGGTCAGGGCAGCCTTTCCACCTTGGTGCTCCCTGCCCCTGTGAGCTCCCTTTTGCCTCCAGGGAAAAAGTTTAGACTTCTTAGCCTGTTGGACAAGGCTTGCCCCCAACCCGGCGCTGCCTTCTTTTCTTGCCAGTCAGATCCTCCGCAGTGTCGATGCCCAGATGACCTCCATTCTAACTATCTCACAAACATGCCTTACTCAGCCCTGGCACCACACCTTTGCATGAGCTGTTGCCTTTCTGGAATGCCATTCCTCTGCTTTTCCAAGGATGGGGAGGACCCTTGTGCCTCCAGGACTGGCTCAGGAGCCCTTCCTGGGGCCAGCTGTGCCCGGCTGCTCCTGCCCAACTGGCCCCCTTCCCCCTCTGACTTGAATTGTTGGTTAACATTCAAATGAAATGAAACTGACTTTCTTGAGGCTATGAATGTCTTATCTCTCTCTGTCCTCTGAATGACTTAGCAACGTGTCATAAAGCCTTAACCCATGCGAACGAATTTTAGGATGAAGCACCTAGTGAGACATTAAAGACACATGGACACATGTCACTCAAGAAACTCATACCCTGGGCGCCTGGGTGGCTCAGTGGGTTAAAGCCTCTGCCTTCGGCTCAGGTCATGGTCCCAGGGTCCTGGGATCCAGGCCCGCATCGGGCTCTCTGCTCAGCATGGAGCCTGCTTCCCCTCTCTCTCTGCCTGCCTCTCTGCCTACTTGTGATCTCAATCTGTGTCAAATGGATAAATGAAATTAAAAAAAAAAAAAAAGAAAGAAACTCATACCCTAGTGAAGGAGGCAGAAAGAAGAAATGACAACTGTCACCTGCGGGTGGGAATGTAAATTGGTACAAGCTTTTAGGAGAGCCGTGTTAACATGTTATCACAATAGTGAAAATGTGCACCTTGTTTATCCTGAGAATTCCACAGCTATCAATGTAGTCGACATGAAACAGACAAGGGCCCTTACACTCATCACTACTGTTCCTCATCTATATCAATAAAGAGACTTCTCCAGCATCGTGAGAAGAACGTAAAAGGGAAAAAAAAAAATGCCTGGAATGATTGTTCCAGATTTGCTGAGTGGGTGTGCATTATTCCCATATGTGATTTTTACTTGTGCTATGTATGTATCTGTAAAAATATCAAACCGGATCAGTCTGCAACGTCCTTTTTCACTCAAGATTGCTGTCGGGATCTGCCCATGTTGATTCGAGCTCGCTCGAGACTTCTCAACATCAGCACCAGCGACACTCGGGGCCTGCTAATTATGGGGGCGGGGGCTGTCCTGTGTATCATAGCAGCAGCCCTGGCCTCTACCCATTAGATGCTCACCCCTTGCCCCCAAGTCGTGACAACCAAAAATGCCTCCAGACATTGCCACTTGTTCCTGGGATGCAGATAGAACCTGGGGGGAGGCAGAGTCCTAGATCATGTGTCCTCACTGCTGGGTAGGATTTTGTTACAGGGATACGCTTCAGCTATCTTCCTATCCGCCTACTGACGGACTTTGAGATTTGCTCCAGTTTTTCTTTTCAAGTTTTTTTTTTTTTTTTAAGCGAGCTCGACACCCAGTGTGGGGCTCGATCTCAACCCTGAGATCAAGATGTCACGCACATGTCACCGATGGAGCCAGCCAACCGCCCAAGTGTCTTTCCATTACGAATAATTCTGAGTGAAAAGTCCCCTGTATTGATTTCCTTGAGCCCAGTGGTAAAGTTTCTCCAGAACAATTACCTACAAGTAAAACATGATGTCATAAGGTGTTTATGACGTCTTCTAACGAATGGAAGTTTTATGGCCGCTGCATGATCCAATTCGTTAGCCTTTTCCTTGAGGGTTTCTGGCTTTTGTGACATGCTTCAAAAGCCCTTCCCCTTTTCAACCTTTGTTTCGCATGGAAGTGATCCTGGCTAAAGGAGGAAGGTAACCGTCTATTTGTCTCAATGCCATTTATTGACACAGACTGAATAATCTGCAACCATTTTTATAGAAGTCATGTATTTTTTTTTTAAAGATTTTATTTATTTGTCAGAGAGAGAGAGACAGCGCGGGCGAGCACAGGCAGACAGAGCGGCAGGCAGAGGCAGAGGGAGAAGCAGGCTTCCTGCCAAGCTAGGAGCCTGATGTGGGACTCGATCCCAGGACACTGGGATCATGACCTGGGCCAAAGGCAGCTGCTTAACCAACTGAGCCACCCAGGCGTCCCAGAAGTCATGTATTTTTACAGATTGAGAAAATCTAGAGCTTAAAGCACCCTGTCAAGAACTATTATTTGTGGGGAGTGGGATAATGGAGGTTACCTAGCTCCACTGAAAATGTTTTCAATAACCAACACGTTCCGTGTCATGGAAGAATAAGAGCAGTTAGAGAAAGTAATGTGGTCAGTGCTTTGATGCCGGCAAGCTTGGTGCGGGTTACAAACACCTGCAGTGGGGGGTGCCTGGGGCACTCAGTGTGTGAAGAGTCTGCCTTCGGTTGGTCCTGGGATCGAGTCCCGCTCCCCTGGGGAGTCTGCTTCTCCCTCTCCCTTTGCGCTTCTCCCTGCTCATGCTCTCTCTGTCTCTCTCTCAAATAAATAAATAAAGTCTTAAATTAAAAAAAGAAAAAAGAAAAACAAAACACCAGCAGTGGGCACCTGAGTGGCGGCCGGGGAGAGGCTCGGTGGGGTGGGTGCAGGTGGGGTTTTTCTAGCTGGGGAGCGGGTGGGGCTTTTCAGTCACAGAATAGCCTCCGATGGGAACACACCACCACAAGCATTTGTCAGCGGCCATGATCAGAGAGTCACGGCCATGTCATCCCTGAACAATGGCCGAGGGGAAACGGCTCTTCGGGTAATGGCAGCAGGGGATGACTTGACATCTCCCAACCAGAAGCAGATGACTACGCTGGCAGCCCTGCAAGGGAGGCCAGCTGATCAGGTCACGGACACCCAAGCCTAGGACTCCCGTGACAAAATCCCACTGTTTGTCAGCTGGGTGCCAGGAAGGAGGACCAAAGGCATCCCTGGCCCAGAAATGGCCCCCAGCAATGAGCACTCAGAGGTCCTGTCCTAGGGGTGCCAGGGAAATAGTACGCTGTTTGCAACCATTTTCCCCATTAAGAACATCAACTCCAAGAGGGCAGGAATCTTTTATTTTTTTCCCATGTTCCCAGTGCCTGACACACAGAGGTTACCCAACAGGTGCATGTGGAATGGCAAGACATCATAATGACTTCCATTTTCCCCTTCTTTTCCCCTGATATTTTCATTCTCAAGTAGCAGATGGATGGGGAAATGGTAGGAATTACCTGGATCACGGCCAACAGCCACCATCACTAATCTTTTGATTCTTGTTCCAAGTCATTAAAGTGCTGGGCATCCAACTCAAACGACATAGCAAGAGGCAGCCAAGAGAATCAGGATCCAATGGTTCTAACACTTGTCGCTTCTTAAACCAGAAATTTCCACACAGCACTGATTCTTTGGGCAGATATTTGGTCCGTATTTGGTCTCTTTCTTTAGATGGCCTTTGCTTTTTAAGATCGTTGATTATAAAAACAGGAAATAGAGGACAAGATGGTGTGCGAGTGATTAAAAGAGGAGAGTCATTTACTACTGACTCAGCCGCCGGGGGTTGGCTGCCCACTGTGTGCCGGGTACCAGGAACACGGTCCTGAACAAGACAGTCTGTGCCCTTGAGAACATACAGTCCTAAACTGACAGGTACTGAGTGATGTATGCCCAGGGTTTACACGCCTCAGCTCAGATAATCCCCACAACAACACTATGAGGTAGATTCAGAAAGATTTAAGTAATTTGTTCAAGATTGGACCCCTCCCTGGGAGCTGGAGGGGCTAGGACTTGGACCCACTCAGACTGTTTCCAGGGCCTTTGTCCTTAACGTTTGTATGTTTCTCCTCTGGAGCAGGTGAGACAAACCCCAGGCAATGACAAAACAGTGATGACAAAGCGCAGATGGCGTCACCATCAATCAGTGCAGACAAGAACAACAGCACACACAAGGGACCTCTCATCCAAGCTTGGGGTGGGCAGGGAAGGCTTACAGAGGGAGTGACAGGGATCCGTAGCCTGGAGAGTGAGGAGGAGGCAGGGGCTCCTGCATAGAGGAATGCCATGCATAAGACCAGAAGAGAGAAGGCTGAAGCCCACCATGGCCTTCTGCATGCAGAGCATGGCCCTAGAGAGCGAGAGGCACTGATGGGGGTAAAGGTAGCTGCTGCTGCTCCCCCTCAGCCCCACTTCCCTCCAGAGGGCTGGGGGTGCATCTCCAGTCCAGGTAAGCAAGAAGGTGTGGCGCTGTGGACATTGGTGTCCTTTTTGCTCCTCTCCTCTTTGGTCCAAAAAAGCTGGCAAGTCTTTGGAGGAAACTATGCACACTGAACACATTTTTTCTACTGTCAATGCTGTAAAACTGTGGAGCTAGGAGTCCCTCAATGTCGACTCCAGGATGGTCGGTGGATTCTGGCCTCAGGTGTTCTGTGACTCTGGATGAGAACTTGAGACATGACTTGTAGATCATACAGTAGGGGTTCAATAAAATAACTACTTTTTAGTAGGGAAGGAGGGAAAGAAGGGGAAGGAGAGGGAGAAGAGGAAAGCAGACCTGTCCTTCAGCGTGGAAGTCTCACTCCACAGCCCCTCAAGCCAGGCCTGTCTATGTCAGCAGTTCCCTGAGAGTGAACTTGGGAAGTCTTGGAGTCATGTACGATTGTCGCCATGACTGGGGCTTCTGATAATTCTCACACAGGAGGCGTAACGCAGAGTGAGATTCTCAGCAAGAATTGCTTCGTGTAACAAAATACACCCTGCTGGACATTCATGGAAGTGGAAAACCCTATTTATAGTTATCTGAACCTAGACTGTAATTTGATTTTAAAGATTTTTATTTATTTATTTATTTATTTATTAGAGAAAGCACGCCACAAGCAAGCAGAGTGACAGGCAAAGGCAGAGAGAGAAGCAGGCTCCCCACTGAGCAGGGGGCCCGACGTGGGACTTGATCCCAGGACCCTCTCAGATCATGACCTGAGCCGAAGGCAGACATCCAACCAACTGAGCCACCCAGGAGCCAAGAGTTGAGAGCTTTATCAGAGTTCTTTGTCAAGGGGCTAAGCTACATTTTTTTTTTTACCTTTTGACACGCAGAAGTGGTGGTGTATATAGATTTTCTTCACTGCAAAACTGGATCTAAGGTTACTTCCTCACTTAACTTCTTAGAGACTTCTAAATAAAGCACATTCTCTGAACTGAATGAATCAAGAAGGTCGGGAGTATAACAGTGTCCCTCTGGCTATGCGTACTCAGACCACAGCCTCTGGCCTCAATAATGGGAATTTTCCAGAAACTACACTGGAGTTAGGCCCTGGACTATCTCGTCCTGGGAGCTGTCCTCCCACGTGATTTCAGGTCACCCAATAGGGAGGACACTCCCACACTGACTCTGATAGAACCACCTCAACACCCAAGGTCAGCTCAAGTGGCAAACTAACCAGGGCCTCAAGTGTCCCCAACATGCAGGGCACAGAGAGGGTTGTTATTTCATTTAACCTTTACAATCACTTGAAAACTGAAAACTATGATCCCAGTGTCACATGCCTGACGAAAGCTGGAGTCAGGATTGAACCTGGGATTTCCGGCTCCAAAACCCCGTATTCTTTCCACGGTAACCCATCACCTGCCTAAGAAAATCCTGCAGCTATACCCCAGTTGAAATAAATGTTCTGACTGTGGCAATGGCCAACATGCTTCTGAACAAAGAATAACTTTATCCACTCGACACCCACATCCTTTTTCTTTTTTTGAAAAATGGGAGAGCCTCAATCCAGTAATCAAGCATACTTTTTTCCTGAACTGACATCTTCCTTTTCTCTAAAAAAGATATACCCTAGTCTTCAAAAAGGCCTTTCCCACATCTTTGAGTGAGAACAGGTTAGTAGGTGTTAACCTTCGATTATTACTTCAAGAAAAGAGTCTTCTTTATTCTGCAAGACTAGAGGTGTACCAGCTTTATTATTTATTTTTTTTAAGATTTTATTTATTTATTTGACAAACAGAGATCACAAGTAGGCAGAGAGGCAGGCAGAGAGAGAGAGGAGAAAGCAGGCTCCCCAAGGAGAGGAGAGCCTGATGTGGGGCTCGATCCCAGGACCTGGGATCACGACCTGAGCCGAAGGCAGAGGCTTTAACCCACTGAGCCACCCAGGCGCCCCCCCCCCAGCTTTATTATTTAAACATACACACACACACACACACACACACACACACACACACATTTTTCAAAAAGTAAGCTCTAGGCCCAATGTGGCACTTGAACTCACGACCCC